TTTTTATTGCAGTAAATAAATAGGCGAAACGCCAAGTACCATTAATTTGTGAAAAGTGTTTTACACAAACAACAAACCTTTGATCAAAAAGCAAAATGAGCACGTTACGAATCAAGGTTTAAGAAAATAAACAAATAATTCTGTGTAACAACTAATGAATTAATTAATTCAGTGCATTCAGTACTTTTAGAATGTGATAATACAAATATAGGACAAACTAAACAATATTTAAAAAAGAGAATGTACGAACATAAATACAACAGTACAACAATAAAAACGATTTCTGTTATCTCAATACATACATACCACTCTCACAAATGTAAAAAATAATTCAGACAAATTTAGGTTTCAAGACGGCAAAGACCTAAAACAACATTGATTTTTACCAATCATTAGTTACCAAGTTTTTCCATTGTTTTGCTCTCCCAAAAGGAAAGATTTTTTCCCCGAAACCAGCACCATGTGGGTTTCGTCCAACAATCCACAAGTATATAATTGTAGTAACGATGAAACTTACCGCCTTGAAGATGTATCATCGCACTGAGGCACACAGCACCGTTTAATATTAGAGCTCATTTTTGAGCCCCTCATGGGTGGCACTGCGCTGAGTCTGTGAGAGTTACGCACTTCTCCGGTATTTGCGGTCACTTCCAGCCGGTATTTTTACCTTCTGGCAATCACACTGTGCTGAGCAACCCGATTTGCTTGGATCAGGATTTTTTGATTCTCCAGGTTGCTGGGGTTGACTATCGTCGCGTTTTCGTAAAAAAAACCGCGTTGAGAAAAAAAAAACGATTTGAACCGCACAAAACGATTACTTGGACATTCACACTGAACCTCTACTATCAACGATAGTCCGGAATGGTCATTTTTCCAAAGGAAATATTTTTAAAGCAGAAAATTATCATTCAAATTTTCTTATGGATGGTTCACTTTCTAAAAAGGCCATTCAGTGCCCTCTGGAATGATGCAAAAGTGAGCGTTCTTTTCGCGCGCGTTTCAACGGTGACCGGACGGAAAACATGAAATTTTGGTATAATCGTGCACCAAAATTTCTGATATTCAAATTTCGCTTTCTGGGTGAAAACTGCCCGATTTTTTTTCGAAGTCTGTGGCTCAAATGGGACTTGAGAAACTTCCAAAAAAGCAGCGTCATGTTTGAGTCGATTGTGCAAAGAAAACAAAAAACACGCAAATCGAAAACAACTTGAAATCAACACTTTTTTGAGAAAGCTGCGAACATTTCCTTATCAATGGTTCACTTTCTAAAAAGTGCATTTAGTTCTCTCGGGAATGATGTAACAATGAGCATTATTACTCATTTTGCTTACGAGAAATGACCAAAAACGGGACGGAAAACATGAAATGTTGGCATAATCTACAAAATTACCGGACTTTTCTCAGTCGCGTTGTTACGGCTGCACCGAATTTTCAATTATCTATCCAACGATGCCAAAACAAGTTCTGTAGTTCAAATGGGGCTTGAGAAATTTCGATAAAAGCAGCGTCAGGTTTGAGTCGATTTTGCAACTAAAAAAAAAAACACGCAAATCTTTAACGTTTTAAAATCCAGACTTTTTTGAGAAAACTGCTCCCATTTTCTTATCATTGGTTCACTTTCTAAAAAGTCCATTATCTCGGGAATGATGTTAAAATGAGCGTTCTCGCTCATTTTGCTTCCGAGAATTGAGCAAAAACGGGACGGGAAACATGAAATTTTGGTATAAGCTTGCACCTAAGTGTCTGATATATTGAATATTGAAATTGCCTTTTATGGGTTAAAACTACTCGAATTTACTCACTCGTAATAACTGAATCATTCACCTGAAGCATTTTCACTTATCTATCCAACGATGCCAAAACGAATTCTGTGGCTCAAACGGGGCTTGAGAAACTTCGAAAAAAGAGGCGTCATGTTTGAGTCGATTTTGCAACTCAAAAAATCCAAAAGTTCTTGAATTAAAGCCTGTTTAGACAAAACTGCCAACATTTTCTTATCAATGGTTCAGTTTTAAAAAAGTCTATTTAGTTTTCTATGGAATGATCTAAAAAGCGTGGTGTAATGAGCGTTCTTGCTCATTTTGTTTCCGAGAAATGAACGAAAACGGGATGGAAAACATGAAATGTTGGCACCTAAGTGTCTTATATTCCAATTTTGCTTTCTGATCCAAAACTACTCGAATTTCCTTACTCATATTGTTATGACGGAATCGAATTTGCAATTCTATATTGCTTTAAATTTAATTTTGCTTTGAAAATTTTATGTCGAGGACTTAAACGCAGTTCGTTAATCCTTACTAAATGTACTCAGATCTGAGCAAAATATTGTGGATTTTTTGAAAGCCGAAAGTTTGCAAATAACTGAAAATTTTAGCATAAATTTCATATGATGAGTACGTGATTTTGAAGAAGTGTAGCAACTTTTGCCTTATCTAGATGAAAGTGTTTTAACGCCCAAAGTCTTCTTTTCAACACCGAGAGTTTTGGATCGGAAATCTGAAAATTTTGCAGCTGTGTTCAATATTTCGAGCAAATCATCCTAAAGGAGCAAATGTCTTCAAAACTAATCCATCCAATCCGTGTGAAAGAATTTTGAAGACAAAATCTAAGCGATGCTAATTTTTTGCAATTCATGTAGCGGAGCGTTTGCTTACTTCTACAGTTTGGGGTTTGAACTGTAAGTGTCGATTCATTTTGGTCAGGATTCAGAGACTTTTTCCATTAAACAGTACATCTAAGCTTGGTAAGACCTTTGGCGTAAATAAGGATCCAAACCTATAATCGCTGCGTGATTACTTACCTAAGGGATTGATCTGAGTTGTTATTGGTCAGTTGGGACTTAGCGGCGACCTGGAAGAGAAAATAATAATAATTACTTTACAACTCACTTAATAAATATGGACCACAAATTGCTTAGTTTCCGAAAAATCGCCACATAGCAAGTGCATTAGTGGAGTAGAGGTGTCAACTAAATATTTACACTAACAAACCGAAATAATACTCTGGAAATGACTCGCTTGTCGTGCAATGTATGTTGAATTTAACTGTGATTTTAATTAACTTACGTATTGCTGTCCATTCTCTAAACAAGCCCGGTTATGTTGAATGATTAACGACTCTGCTATTTTTACCAACTGTTTATAGTAGTAAGTACTTTGCTTAGAATTTTCGCGAGATGCGAGCAGAATTTTCCTTCTTCTTCGGTTTAACATTTTATTATTCAGGATTAACCGATTTTATTGACCCAACCATTGAGGGATGACAAACTTTGCAAATTAAAGCAAACTTAATACGCAAATCGCGTTCCACTCATTTCAAGGCCCAACTCTTGCATTTTGCAAAACTATTTATTGCCTTTCGGCTCGCTTGCAATACTGCCGCCGAGTTGGAAAATATGCTTTTTAATTTAGTCGTAGAACTTACTTGCCGAACTTACTGAAGCTTTTAAATATACTAAATTTCCACTGTGCCAACCAGAAAACTCACCAAAAAGCTGCATATACACTAACTTGGATATATCTGGTTATTTGATCGGGACTTTCCAATTGAGAGTTGTTGGAAGAAACTTCCCGGGCCCGTCAAAGCCTCAAAAGTTCAAAAGTTGCCATAGAGCTTTTATAATGACCATCGCAGTGTTTACAAAAAATCGTCTATGGTTCTTCCGGTCCAGCTTGAATTTAATTTGGTAAGTTTTCGCGAAAAATCGGCAGTTCCCGCGTGTTTAATAGTGTGATATAAACTGGCACTCTTAACTTAACTGACGGTGTTTCATTTCGAGTTTAGGCCCCAGGTTATAAATAAGTTGATTTATTTTGTCACGGCGCTCCTCTTAACCGAATGTTCTGTGTCTAAAAAAAGACTACTCCGTTTTTACCGGAATAATTGGGAATTCACTTTCAGGTTTCGGCAAAAGCGCTTTCTGGTGGCGATTTATTTATATTTCGGCCACCACTCCCAGCAACTTAACTGAATCCACATCGAATCAACTTAAACAGTTCCATTTCCACTTATCAATTGCGTATCCCTGTCAGCAGTGCGCCGAGTCCCGCTAATCCGGCCGCAAATCCACATTTAAACTAGTAAAAATATTTCCGGGGATAATCCGGGATAATTGAGGATATTCCGCACATTACCGGGGATAACAGGCCGGGAATGGAAAACGTGCAACTGCATTCGCAAGGCGACGCATAATGCCTACTGCTGATCGTTTCAGGACTTTAATATCATATTTAGGGAATTTTCCGGACGCTTCAAGTAGTTTGCTATTTTTGTTCCTCCTAAGGGGTTTGCCGGAATAAAATTAAGGTTTTCTTACGATTAGAGGCGCATTTGCAGCTGCTGGAATTTCGCTTTTTTTCTGCAAAACAGTGGGATCGTTGTACTTAAGAGGACTTCGAGCTGTGAAAAAATTACAATTTTATTGGTGATTTTGATTAAATTGGCACTTCTGAGTTGCTAGCGTATCACTTTGCAGTGGATTTATCTCTGAAAATTGAGATTTTTTGAGCTGATAAAAATATTAAGTATCAAAATATGTCTTTCCACCAATACCGGCGGTCGATTTTCACAAAAGTGTAAATATCTCGAAAATTAATGCTATTTTTTCGTTGAACGACTTTTCGAGAATGAAATTTTTACAAGTGCTTTTGATTTCGGACCTGCTTGTGCACCAACTAGCAGATGTTTCTTCCTTGTGGTTTTCTAAATATTTTTTACTGTGTAATTGTGATTCATTTACTTCTTTTACAACAGTGACTTCTTTAGCATCTGCATGTCGATGACTGGATTCAGCACTTTGTTACGTGCGTCTGAATGAGCGTTTGATTCAGCTACATATGACCACTATTTAGCTCAACAAAGAATAAATATTGAATAGTTATTATGTCACGAAAAAGTCGGGAAAAACGAAAGAAATGGAGTCGTCCTGTAATTCGTAAAATCTGTTTTGTAAGTTAATTCAGACCGTTTTTATACAAAGAAATGACCACTGAAGTGGCATCGGCTGGAAAGTTTTGCCGGTAATCCGGCTTCCAGCTGGCAAAGTCGCTGATTCGATTATAAGCAGCTACCTACAGCTACAAGGGAAATAAATCTTGCATTCGGTCGGGTTTTAGCGCGCTGTTTGACCGCAAACACTCTTTCAGGTTTCGTGTCCAATTCCGCTGCTTACGGCCTAATTGGATTGGCGATTGTCTTATGCAATTTCCCGGCCCCTTGTCTAGATTTGGAAAAATTCCGGCAATGTTTCGGGTTAATTACCGAGGGCGGTGAACCTCCAAAGTTTCCGAATTCGCCAATGGCCACGTGCTAATTAGTCGCCAATCGGACATTCCGATCGTGCCCAAAGCCCTGCTGGCCTCTGATTTGAATTGACCACGAACTTGACCGAATTTTCCTAATTATTACTTATTTGGTGATACGGGAAATTCATTTTATCCGGTCAAAACATGCAGATAAATTTGAGTTATTTATATTAAGTGGGGCGTATTATTGAGTGCAAGCTTAATGCGTGTTTATCTTACCGATGCCAATAATGGGAGCGGTTGAAATGCTCAATGCGTAACTGACCGAATAACGATGTTTTTAATTTTTATGTCTTGTTTATTGAGTGTATTCAATTTTGCGATGCTGGTTAACACACCACTGCTCTCTCAGGCAAATCCACTGAAACATGCGTTAGTTGGAATGGTGGATAAATGAGGAAAGCGATCATTTTCCCCGCAAAAAATCCTTAAAGTTGAGCTCAACTTAATTATTTGTGAAGCGGCTGACTTCCTGTACAGTGGGGCAAGTTAACAATCAACAGTGTTTCTATAAACTAATAACGATTAATGGATTGTAGGGAAGGTGATTTCATCAATGTTTGATTGTAAATAGACGCTGAAGATTTTTGCAGTATTTGCTCATCGTTTTCAAAATTTTCCTTTTGTCTCCTGCTTTAAAGTCCATTACTTTATATTTAACGTATTTTGAAAAATTGATCAGGTCCAGTTCTCTGTTACTGCGGAAATATTTGTGTTCTGTTTCCTCTGCCTTTGGGTACGTGTATCCCAAGCAAAGTGCTGCGAAGGTTTACGCTCAGAATTCTGGAAAAATCTTCGTGCCAGTTGTAGTTGATTTACTGACTAACCTAACTAAAAATGATCTAGTCAACAAAGTTTTATTTTAAATAGTTCCTTATTTTTCTACCTAGATTTTCCGTTTAATTGTAACATATTCAATCGTTTAACTGAAGTCTATTTGACCAAATTGGACCATTTCAACGAGTTTCATGAAAATGAGGCTCAATTGCCAACCAAGACGAAAAGGCTCAACAGTACACTTTTATTTTAAATAATACAGCACTGTCCGTTATGTGACTGTTTTGGGGAAAATCATTATCAATTAATCGTTTGCAGCAGGCATTACCAGCCCGAAAATAGTCTGCTCTCTAATGTGCTTCCTAAATAATAAATTGTAGACGAGAAGTCTTGCAGAATAGATGAAAGCAGCTTGAAATGCGTGACACATTTTAACTCGCAGCGACTCTACTGCTGAGCTGAATTTTCATAACAATAAAAGAGTAGCTTGCATTAGAAGCTTACATAGAAAAATTGGAAAATGTGTGTCATAGACTTGAGGAATATGAGCACAATATTCAATGTAGATTGAGGTGAAGAAATTTGCTCTTATCTATTTTTGAAAAATGTAAGTTTAATTGTGATAGTGGTTATCGTCGCATACAAGGCGAAGTATTTTTGATATTAAGCTTGCAAGTTAATTTAGTTAATCATAAATTGTTTATCAGGATCATTTGTCCAGGAAAGCGTTTTGATTGCCAAATAATGATGCTGATCTGAAATTAAAAATTGAATAATTTTTCCAACTTACAGTGAAAGTATGGCCAGAGAAAGTTGAATTTCTATAGGCCTCGTTTACGAGCATAAAAAGTTTGCAGCATATATTCACAAGAAATGATATGAAATGAAGTGGCTGAGATGAAAATGTCCATACTGGCCCGAAAAAATGATCAAAATGTGGTCCCTAGAAACTTGCCTTCTGAATTATTTATCGAGCTGCAAAAAACTCCCCAAATATCAAATAAAACGATTTTGCCATATTTTCCGCTTTTCTTCTTCATTTGGATCAGATCATACATTAAATAATGTTGTTGTTAATAGAAACGGTGGTCGGTACCAGATTCGGTCAGCTCTGTGACAAATTTAACAAATTTTCATTTGGCTTTCTTTCAGCCATTTGAACCCATCACACGCAACAAGTGGCTGATAAAAACGGCGCTCCGGTGCGTGTGCGCCCATTTTCCCTTATTTGTCCCTCGTCTGCAATTATGTGGACGTTTAGGATAGAAAGATCGCCATCCTCTAAAGATGCAGTTTGATCCGACTCGATGTTTCAAAGCAAAAGATAAAAGTGCGAAATCCGCACATAAATAAAAGCCGACAACGGCAAACGAATTATTTGCCACAAAGGATTGGGGTAACCGGGAATGTGGGGAGCTATCAATAATTGAAAATAAACAACCAGATTTCGCTATTCGGAGGCAGGCATTCCTGCCACGTAGTCCATGGTCCCTCATGGGAATCGATCGATTATGGAATTTCCAATTCGTTTTACTTATGTTTGTGCTCATGTGTGTTAGGCGAAATGGCAGTTTTTTTATGTAAACTTACCCCACTGAAGCTTTAAAGCTGCCCCCCATCAATAATATATGTGTGTACCTTTCCCCATTCCAATATTTACCCCGATTACGATTCGATCAAGCCATTTGACAAGCTATTGGGTTACACCCTGGAAAATGGGCCGGGGTTTTTCATTTTCAGGATTTTCCGGACGCACACACACGCACTTGGCATTTTCCCCGAAAAGTTCTAAAAAGTTTCCATTGGAAACACATCGCTCTTCTAGGGTGCAATAACGGTCCTTGTTGTCCGAGAGAGTTTCAGTTGTTTTTCCTTTATGAATTTAATATACTTTAAGTACTGGCCATAAACTAATCCGGAGACACTCGAAGAACTTATAAAAGATTTTTATAAGCTCTAAATAAAAGAGTAACCTCTACTTGGAAAAGTTTCCTGGGAAAGTTTCCACCGCGGGACAAACATGAGTTTCGTAATTTTGCTGCCTATATACTTATTATGGACTATCTTGGCTTGCCATTTACCAGTTCCAGGAGGCTGTGGATACTTTTCCTGAGTTGTTGCCGTTTGTTGCTCAAGCAGAACATTTTCGAAAGAAAAAATGAACTTAATAATGGGAGTGAATCTGTATTCCACACGGGTGTTTGAGTGTGGCACAGGTATTTTTGAGTGTGCAACAATGTCAAGATTAAATGGACACAATTTCGCCGTCTATGCATGCAATCAATTAGATAATTCGACTATCATTTCGGATATTACCGACGGACCCTCGGGTGATTTGTTTGCCCTCGAGGTTAATTAATTTAACCGAAAACGATAACACCAGCACCACGTTGCAGTTTATCTTTACCCGAGTAATATGCAATGCTTTGACTATATCTGAATGATGGCTTCTAATTAATTGCGGCGCTCGGGTAATTGTAACATTGATAAACCTTATAAAGTGTGTTGAACAATCGAGCCGACGCCGTTGTTGCTAAAGCTCTTTAATACACCCTGTGGAGGTAATTGAATGTGCCAACTTCATATTGGAGCTAGTGGTTGAGGCAGCAGGCCCCGGAAAACGCAGGATTTTCGAAAGTTGTTTAATAAAAAAACTCTTAACCGGAAAGTTGTGCGGTCTCGCTTAATCCCGCCGTGTTATATAGCGAAAACATTATTAAAATTTTATAGTGGAACGAAAATAAGGTGCTTCCTGCGGAAGATTTTAATAAATTCTTCAGCGCCCGCATCCTTGCCGTTATGAAATTTGGCTGCAGCGCGGTTTTGTCCATATTTAGCCCAGCCGAATTTCAACTGAATTAGACTCACTGTTTATTGAGAATTTTTCAAACATTTAAACGTGGCAACTTTTAAGGACTCAAACTGCTTTTGCTTGAATATTTTATGAATTTTCAACACCACTTTCCTTTAGTTTATTTGCTTCCTAGCTGGCAGCAGTGTTGTTCTGAGTCTACGAGTGATACACCAGAAACTGATTATTGAAAAAAATATAGTAATGAAGAGTTCATAAGTTTTCTGG